GAAGTAGCCAGAGTACGGCAGGAAGTAGCATGGGCGGTTACACTACAGAGAACAATGTTATCTATATGGTGGTGGCTGTTTTGATATTCGGAGGTGAGATGTTGGGCTTTTGTACCAAGAGACTCCAGCATAATCGTGTTCAACTTCTCATTTGTTGTGATTTTGGCTCTTAATCTGTTTTCGACCTTACTCTCATATATGCTTGCTGTACTTTGTGTCTTTCTCGTCAAAGGAAATTTAAATTGGATGCTCATCGCTTGGCTCCTTGCAAAAGGAGTGATTGATGCTGCGCAGGGGTTCCTTCGGCCTGGATGGAAGGAGTCAGGACCATAAGGCCCTGTCACTCCGCAGACGGGAAAGGAGTTAACAAAATAAGGACCTTAATTTTTCTTTTTTTTTAAGGAAGGGAAACAGAATTACTCAACCCAAAACATCCAGTGCAATGATTCCAAACTTCCAAAGGCAATTTGCACAATTATGCAGAAACACAGAGAGGTGAACCATAGCTACACAGTGGATGGCGATAGGAAGCCAGTTCCTCTGGACCCGGCAAACAGAACGCAGGAAAAAAAAAAAAAAAAAAAGAATGCAGAATGGTAAGAGTACCGAGTCGATGCGAAATCAGTGGTACCTGCCTACACAATATAATATATGCTCTCTGAGTGTCCGAGACAGTTCTCCGGCATACATCGAGACGTAAGGAAATGCCTAAAATTGAAAATTCTGACAGTAGAAAACTCGGCGGTTGAGATTCGACCAATCGTATTGAGAAGCGAATCTGGCAAAAAAAAAAAACAGAAAAAAAAAAGAAAAGAGAAATCTGGCAAGTTGAATGCATATACTACAAAACAAATGGCTAAGTGTGATAGACAGATTCATACGGCATGTTGAATGCATAATATACTAAATATAGGGTGTCGTTAGACACTCCTTACGAGTTCCTTGAGCCACAAGGAATTTTCCTGGTGGCTCTTAAACCACCAGTACCTCACTCAGCTATCGGCCACAGGCCTTCCCGTATACGCGCCGCAGCCTTAGGGGGGTCGGCCAAGGGAAGGCCCGGTCGTAGCGCGAAGGCCGGGCCCCGGT